TTTGCAAGTACCTTTAAATGGATCCTTTTGTAAACACACACCAAAAAAAAAAAAAAAAAGAAAGAAAATCTCTTGCTATTTAGTAATATTTCCCCACAGCATTACATGTACACTTTTCATTAAAAACACTATCTGATTATTCCCATTTCATTCTCTCTTGCTTCCAATTAACTGCTCATCGATTAGTATATAGCAAGCACTTGATAATTAACCAAAGGAAAAAAAATCCAAAACAAAATCACCAGAATGCCTTGCGGCTGCTAGTATGGACCTTCTTCCCCAAGTTTACCCGCTGCATGATGATGGAAGCAAAGCAGCCTAGTAAATGGAAGGAAAGAATGACGGCAGACTCATAAATGAGAGAAAACGCCTAGTAATCATTATTAACACAGGTACTGGGAATCATTACCAGTGTCTTTCCCAGCAATTCTTTTATTCTCATACTCTATAAATATACTTCAAACTACATTCCAGCTGGGACACTGGATCCAACAAGCTGTCTAAAACGTTATACTTTGCCCTTTTATGGCATCATCTACCCTCCAGTTAGCAGCCCATTAATCAGATGTAGTGTGTGTGTGTGTGTGTGTGTGTGTGTGTGTGTGTGTGTGTGTGTATGAGAGAGAGAGAGAGGCTGGTTTTCAGCTTTCGTGGTGTGGTTCTGGTTTTCCTTCATTTAGCAACATTTGCTGAGCACTTTCTATATTTAAATTATGAGCTTGTCCTTACTAGGGGTTGGATATCAGTAGGAAACACATTCAAAGTCCAAAAAACACTGGGCCTACCATTAAGCATGACATAATCTACTTGACCTTTAACATTGAGTTCAGGCATCACTTCCTCCAGGAAGCCTGCCCTGCACTCCCCATTTGGAACGAATGACATTCTTTTGCTACCACCTGTGATTCCACTTAGCAGATAGCTTATTGCAATGATCTCTTACGGGTTTCCATCCTCATTGGACTGGGAATATTAATTGTCTCTTTGATTTTCTAGTGCACAGAGTCTGGTCCATAACGAGTATTTAACAACTATTTGGAGAATTGAATGAATGTCCTAACACATATTGACAGTCATACCCACCGTCATCCCATTGCCTTGAAGAGCCTGGGCTAGAGACTCCACTCATCCTGGCTCTGGCCTCTTTCTCCTCATCCACCGTCCCCACCCTGCCCTCTGTTTGGCACCAGGCTGACTTGAGCAGACCTGCACTTCCTGGCGACTCTGGATGGTTTCCTCTTCCCCTCATCAACGCCCCCTCATCTTCTGTCACATTCTCAGTCAGGGGGCTGTTCTTTGCTGGTTGGAAAAAGGGAATCAGATAAGAGAATCGATATTAATGGGGGTTAATGTTACCTCTAGCAACAACAGTGTTTTCACATTTGCAACAATATTTTCTGGACAGCATCTCCGCCCTGTGCTTCTTGAACTGGGCACAGGAGCTCCCCGGCCATGCAGAGGTGTGCAGGGACACTATGTGCCTTGGGTTGGTTAACAGTGCACAACCTGAAGGTCTAGGAGAGTAGTTCTGTGTGAAGACAAAGGCGTATATCTTAGGAGTTGAATATCAAGTTTTCATAAAATTACAAGTTAGAACAAGACCTTGAAGGCCCCAGGATTCCAGATGGTACAAGTGTATTTCCACTGGTGTTGGGATAAATAAGTTCAGGGGAGACTTGGGAAGCACGAATGGTGCTCACTTCAGGCTACAGATGGGGCCTTCCAATCATGTATTGAAGACTGGTACCCACGCGTTCAGAACAGGCAGGGCCAGTGCTGCGGGCTGGTCACAGCAATCCAGGTGGGCGCAGCAGGTTCTTAGGTAAGTGTGTCATTCCCAGGTCCACCATTTACCCTGCCAGATGGCATCGTCCACGTAGCTGTCCATCCAACCAACATCTACTATCAGCCCATCACTGCCCGAGGTGCAGGGAGAATGAGTGAACAAGTGAGGCAGTTTGTTCTCAAGGAGCTCACAACCTGGCAGGGAAAATGTGTGAAAAGGAGAGCCGTATTACTGAGCAGATTATTAGAAGAGTAGTAAGTGTTCTGGAAGAAAGCACAGTGACCCGGATGCTGGGGGAGCAGTTGTTTGTCACCATATTCTTCCTAGAAGAGTCCCTGCCACACTGGGGTGGCATTTATTTTTACTTTCAGTCCTCAAAATTAATTTTTAGAATAAAGGTGTATCCTCCAGCCCCCCCACCCAAGGGATTCTGAATATTTTGCATCTTTGGAAAGAATGAGGTACAATGTAGAAATTTATTATGAAAAATTTCTGGGAGTGTAGGTATATATAAATTATGAAGGTTCATTTGATACTTCAAAGATATTTTTAATTATTTTCTTCTCCATAGTTGTAATCTACATTTTGAAAATTAAGTAAAATAAATCATAATATTGGTACTCACTTTACTAAATCTGTACTCCACAATATCATTTTTAGAATAAAAATTTGAGCTTCTTTTCTCCCCCCAAAACTATTTCCTCTCTCCCTCTTTCCCTCCCTCCCTCCTTCCCTTCCCCCCTTCCTTTCCTCTTAGCAAATATTTTGGAAAGCCTCACTGAGCTCCAACAGGATAATACATAGTGGTAAGAAAGCCAACAAAAATCACCTAAACCTATTAAAATACCTTTCAGGAAGGAATTGACCAGACATCAGTACAACTTGTCAGGAAAGGCCTCTTCCATCAAGCAAGGCTCCTTGTCCTGAGCCATGACAAAAGAACAGATGTCACCCCTCACACAGCCGCCCTCCACGTAATTATCCTCTGCACACTGCTGAAGACCTTACCTTCTTTCAAGACTCATGAAAGAACCCTTCCAATTAATAGAACATACATTCTTAAGCTCCCATAGGAAATTCCAGATAAACTTCTGTAGCTCCAGTGCTACTAGAAAAATTCTCTGGTGCCAAGATTTAGCCACAGGAGGATTCTCCTCTCTCTCAAGGCAGGTAAACACCCTCTGGCGCTTGTCAGGAGGTCTTCAGTACTGTGGTTGTATTTGAAGGATTATGAATACCTTAACTTCTCTCCTGGAACCGCCTGGTTCTCTGTACTCTTGTCTTTGCCAGGACCAACACGGAGCCACACGCATCCTTTGCTCCGGTCTGCACCCTGACGCCCTAACGCATGGGAGGCCCTGCAGCTACTCTGCCCAGCGGGGCGCCCTGAGGAAGTGTGAGCAGAGGGTGAGCCACAGTGAGAGTGGCCGAACAGAACCGTTTTGTCACCTTTACAATGTCTGAGCTCTGTCAGGTTGCTCCTCCAGTGGGCTTACTTGATTTTAAAAAAGTAAAAACAGCTGGTGTGTCTCGGTGGATTGAGCGCAGGTCTGCGAACCAGAGGATTGTGGTTTGATTCCCAGTCAGGGCACATGCCTGGGTTGCAGGCCAGTTCCCAGCAGGAGTTGCACTAGAGGCAACCATACATTGATGTCTCTCTCCCTCTCTCCTTCCCCTCTAAAGATAAATTAAAAAATCTTAAAAAAAAAAAGTAAAAACAAACAGTTGATTAGAGTCTCCCTCCACAGCGCAGCAATGCCAGACGCTAGCTATCCTAAGGGAACAGGGCGAGGACTTAGCTCATGACCAGGTTACCAAAGACAAAGACCATTTCACCAACACTTACCACTCAGGTTCCTCTGAAGATACTTTAATTTAGCTTAATGGGAGAAATCTCTGGTCAGAGAATTCAACTTCCTCACCCCAGACTTTCTTAACTTGTGAGGAGGGAGAGAAGCTTCCTGGGAGGGCTGGCTTCCTTGCCTGGACCGGTCTGCCTTAGGGAAAGCTCTTGACAGCACATTAGCTTCTTGGGAGAAAACACCCCCAAATGCCTCTGATTTCTCCAACTTTATAGCGACTCTTCCTTTTATTCTGAAGCCCTACTCTGCATTTCGGAGCAGCTCCAGCATGCTGCATTGTGGAAGAGGGCTTGTGAGTTAACACAAATCCTTAGTTTCCTTCCCTTCACAGAAGAGAATCCACAATGAACTCAACTGACGAATGAAAGGCTATGTTTTGATTTGAAGAGACTATTTTTTTTTTTCAAAAAAGGAATCTCTGTTTAGAACAGGTTGTTATGACTTCTTCTGATTTTTCAGAATGACCAAGCCAAAAGGCAAAAATCCTCTGGAGAGTATTTGCAAGTTATCAAAAGTAGTGGGGTGTGAAGATTAAACACAAAATTGTCTTTGCAAATATCTAGAATGTGTTAATAAATTGCCCAGTCATACTAACTGTATTAATACCCAAAACAAAACCATAAAGACTTGATTAGCCAGAAAATCCTGTTTTACTTAGAAAAAGATATTGGAAACCCTTTGTAAAGTACAAAGGTTATTTCAGCAAGAAAACTGTCCTCCTTGCATGAATCCAGATGACACTGGTGATCTTAGAATCGCGGGGTCTTAGATCTGTAGGAACCTATGGTAAATCTCATCCAGCTCCCTCACTTCTACAGACGAAACCTGAAAGTGAGAGATGCCAGGTGGCTGTCCAAGGTCATGCAGCTGAACGAGGGCAAAGCCAGGCCTGGAGACTTAGCCCAGTCTACCCACTCCCCCTGCTAGCGCACCAGGCTGTTTCCCTGCTTAGCAACTGCATTACAGAGGTGGAGGGACACTGGGAAACACATGTGCTGACTCCGGGACAAGAAAGGCTCTCCGGTAATGTCTCATTCTCCTTGTAATTGTCTTTTTCTCCTACAAGTGGGACACAGAAAATTCCAGTTAGAGAAAACGTCTGATAAATTAAAATGTTAAGGTATGCCTACTCATACGTTAACAGTCCTCTGAATTAGCTAGACAATAGCCTAGTTCTTCCCAGGAAGAAAAGAAAAAACACTCCAGGTGCCCTGAATGTTCCTGTCGTTTGGAGATTGTTGCACAATAGTTCAATGTCCCAGGTGACTCCTTTGCACCTGGTGTGGAACAGATATGTCACTATCAGAGTACCTTCCACGTTTAAACAAATGAACAAAAAAAATTCAAATGTAAAATGTTCTCTTTTTAATTACTAAATTAAGAAAGTTAAACAATTTAAAAATGTAAACTCACAAATAAATCATAACAGAAAAAGTAATTAAGACTTCAGAGTTGCTACTCAGTATTAAAAACTCAATAGAAATAGGCTTTTTGATTTGTTGTTAAACATGTAATTCAAGGTTGGTACAAACAGCAACTAAAAATGTAATACTTTTTTCTTTTTTGTGCATCCCCATGAAATGTCAAGTAGTGCATAGTTATTCCACTGGAGAATTCTTGGACATATAGAAAGTCAATTCATTAGCAGTACAGGACATTTAAAACACTTATTTTACAATGGGAAATGTACAACCCCCACCCTCATCTTCCCCATAAGTTTTAGTTGCATGAGAAAGTTTAGCAGGTTGCCATGACTACAATGCTATGGGTTTTAGACCATTTAAATGTGGTTACAAGATTTATTAAATTAAAAAGTTTGAAACATTTCAGCATTCATATTTTTGTACAAGAAGTTTGTGTGGTATCCATCTTCCAGTTCCCCTGGTAGTAGTGCCCATTTGCTGGCTTAAAAATGCTCACTTTGAAGTTTCAAGAACAAACTGTGGTAGGTCGAAGCAAATACTGGAAACAGAACTCGTGAATTCAGTTCCGGGGGCCGTTGAAAAGAGTCACTGTAACAGCCATCTACAGGTACGGACATGAACCAAAAAGAGCAATCCAAATTACAAAAAGAAAATCATGCTCTGAAAAAGCCAAAAATGAGGCCACTGGTTTTTCAGAATAACACCAGTGCTTTTATATGCCGATTTTGCAGTAAAATCCTCACTCTGGGTCCTGAAGCTTCGTGGCCCAGGCCGGGCATGGTCTCCATGTTAGCACCCACATGGTGTATGTACAGGGACGTATATATTATGTGTATTCATATTTATAAAAAAGGAAAAAAAACAAACACCTGTCCTGATTGGTTTTTGTTAAAACATGAAAAAAAATTTTATTGTTTTAGACAAAGAGGCCACTTTTGGAAAATAATACTTTTTTTTTTTAGTTGAATCAGGTAAAGACAGAGTTAAAATCACATAGGATTTGCATTTTTAAAAAAGGAAAGCATTAGGATTGTTGGCACTGGAGTAACTATTTACACGGAACAGAGGTTTGGCCTTTTACGCAACAAGGATACAATGCATTTTCCAAAGTCTGAGAAATAACAAGGTTCTGTCTTGTATGCTTCACAGAGGAGGTTCGGATCTGGGGACAAGTGAGGGCCATGGAAGTTCGTCAGCTTCAGAGTCACATGCAATCTGATCCTGGGCTGTTCCCGCTGCCCCGGAGCAGCTGGCTACAGAATTGAAAGCTAATGGGGAGGGGGCGGAGGCCTCTGGGACAAGGCCTCTCTCTGCTGACCCGCGTCTTACAGGTTTTCACCAGGCTGGTACTGGGGCTCTGTGGCTGTGAAGTAGTCTTCTAGGAAGCCCTGCAAGTACTCGAAAGTGGGCCGTTCTTCCGGGTCCTTCTTCCAGCAGTGGATCATGAGCTCGTGCAGAGAGATGGGGCAGTCCTGTGGACAGGGCATCCTGTAGCCGCGCTCCACCTGCTCCAGCACCTCCCGGTTGTTCATGCCTGTAAAGACAGGGGCGGTGAGAGTGGGCGCCTGCCGGCCGCCAAGCCCCGCATCTCCCCTTTCTCGGATTTTAAGTCTGTGTGTTAAACCATGTTGAGGGATCCAGGGTGGAAACCTGCCTTTAACAGCACGCCGCACCACTCAGGAATAAAAAAGGAACGCACTACTGATATACACAAAACCCAGATGATGACTCTCAAAAGCATTATAAGTGAAAGAAGCCAGACACAAAAGGTAACATACTGAATGATCTCATTTATATGAAATTCTAGAAAAGGCAAAACTACAGTGATAGAAAGCAGATCAGTGGTTGCCAGGGGAGAGGGGGAGGGGGACGCCTGCTGAGGGGCCGCAGGGGCACTGAGGGGTGACGGGGATGTTTTCCATCAGGGGTCAGCAACTAGTCCTGTAAAGGCCAGATAGTAAATATTTTAGGCTTCGTGGGCTGCACGCAATCTCCATTGCATATTCTTCTTTTCTAACTCTTCAAAAACGTACAGAACAAAAACAGGGCGGTGCTGGACTTGGTCCCCAGGCAGCAGTCTCTCCTGTATCCCATATGTGGTCGTGTGACTGCTTATGTTTGTCAAAACTCACTGGATTCTTAAAATTGTTGAATTCTATTGTATGTAAATTACACTTCAATCAAGATGACAAGGAAATATGAATGAAGCAGATTAAAAAAATCCATGGAATGAAAAACACACTGCTCCTTGTTTATAGCATCTACAAGCTCCATTAATAAACTCCAAAAATTAGCCTTCCTCCTGCCGGGGGCTCTCGGTGCCCTGCTGTCCAGCATCTGCCGTCGTGCCACCGTGGCCGGGGGCTGTCTGGCCCAGTGACCCCGAGGCTTGGTGACTCTGAGGTGGAGACAAGGCGTCTCCAGGGCCTGTGTTTACTGATGATATTGGACAGGCCATCGATCATGTGGGACCTCTGCGACCCTCTGAGGGAGCTGCCTCATGCTGAAACATCAGGCCGTGCGGCACGAACTGGAGGCGACCCGAGAGACGGCTCGCTCTGTGACAGTGCAGCCGCCCCACACGCTGGCCTTCTTGACAGAACAGGAAACACACTTGGGGTGAGGCGCATGTCCTGACCCTGTTTCCAGTCAGCGCCAGGCACTATTCTCCGGTTTTCCTTCCGAGCCATATCACGTTCTGCCATCGCTTGCCAAGCCCTTGTATGTTTTGCCTGCTCCTTGGCCCTAAGCCTGTTGTTATCTGGAATCCTCCCCAACTTCTAACCTGGTTAGTTTATAAAAGCAAGAACCCAGTTTTAAGCTGTACAGAAACTAGATTTCTTTCCCTGTCTCTCAGGGGCACAGCCAGTAAGACACAGCATATGTGTGTAGCAGCTCCTTTTAGTTGGGGAGGGGGCCGTGGCCCCAGCTAGAACCCTGCAAGCCTGTTCAGAGGAGTGGGGCCCAGAGCACAACCCTGTCTCCCTGGGCAGGGGACACCCAGACTTTGGGATCTGCTGCCAATCCTTTGTTCTGTTGTTGCTTTTGGAGCTGGGTTTATCTTGGCTCCTGTGGCTGTCAGCCACGGCCGTCAGTCTCATGCCTGTGCAAATCCTGCCAGGACGCTTTCCTACTCTCTGCCACTCTAACTTCTTGCGGTGATAAGATCCACATATTATTCCCACTATGTTGAACTAGGCCTTCCCTCTCATTTTGGGACGATTGTTATTTTAGTGAGAGGTTCAGTGAATGAGTCTGGTCCCCTGCCCCCACATCACGCATGACTTTACAGGTGCTCTCTTCAGTTGGATGTCTGGTCAGCTCTGTGGCTAATTAGCTTAATTAGCTCCAACTGCTGGAAACTCATTTTGAAAACTCAGGATGGGGCGGGGAACTGGAGCAAGGGGAGGAACCCGGCGCTGCCAGGAGAACGTCCTGTAGTGCTCCGGCCGAACAGGGTTAGGGAGGGGTCCAGCGATTCCTCAGCCACAGTCCACAAATCGGACAAGCTCTGAAAACCAAAAGTGCTGGTTACTAACTCACTCGGCAGCAAAACTGGTCTGAACTGACCTCATTTGGACATAAAACCTGACCCAGTGCGAGGCCATTTACTGTTCCTATTTACTCATACATATTGCTGCAGAAGGAAGAATGTATTGGAGTGCAGAGTGCTGCTCTAGACAGTTATATAATGTATGGTCTACACACTGTATGGTCTTTAAAAAGAAGTCTCATTCTGGGAGCACATGCGGTCCCAAGGGTCTTAGCTGGGAAGTCCTGGCAAGAGTGACAGCAGCCACCACACTCCGGCCAGCCCAGAAAGATTAGGGAGAGAGTATCACCACATATCAGGACTGGCATTCTCCAAAGTCTTTCCTTGGTTTCATAATATCCCAGAAGCCACGTGGCCTGAACCCAAACGGATGCCCCTTGTGCCTGCCCTTGCCGGGGGCCTGCAGGAACCGTAGGAAAGACAGCAGAAGGTCTGAACCTCAGACGGTCTGACAACACCCCCACCCCAACACCTTCTGATGCTTTACTCTGGCACCGAGCTGTCCAAAATGGCACTAGAGTTTACCTAATCAGTCTCCTGTTGTTCTGTGGAGCTTATGTGAGTAAATGTTTCATTTCATTAGACAGAACTACTCAAACGGAAAGATTTCACGTATTTTTAAAGAACTCTAAACTCAATCTCCAACACAGAAAGTTTAATTGACCACTTGGGTCAAGCCTATTTTTCCAGTGCTCTGTCCAAGCAACTCAGCCCTCAACTGTAGCATCTCCTGAGGCAGCCTGCTTCCTGGGTGGTCCTCGGGGGTGGGGGGGTGGGTGGGGGGACGCAGGACACTGGCAGCCCCACCCTGTCAGCTCACGGCACATTCCTTTTCATTCCTCAGCTCCTTTCCTTTCTCTTCTCACGCTTTCTCTGCACAGGCCTCTCAAAGTATGGAGATCACATGTAACGAGTTCCATGCACTGGGCCAAAAAGGAATATACTAATGACAGCTTCGCCAGAAAAATGGGGTCTAAGACAATGCCGTTGGCTGAAAACGACACTCTGAATGGGACTATAGCTTGTTTCCAGCCAGCCATCAGGCTGACCTGCGAACCTGGCCCCACAGCCGAGAGGTGCCCACTTACTTAGCAAGGGGTAGGCTAGTTTTTGCTTCACAAACAATAGCCAATTTAAATGGACTGTGTTCATATTTAAAAAACAGTATGAGAATATAGTTATAAGAACCTTGAAAAATCATATTTCAAGAATTTCCTTTTTAGTCAAAATGCATTTTACTCTGTATGCTACTATAAAGGTGAGCCTATCTCATTTCTAAAATTTTAGATGGTTTTATATTTCTGTTACACAGAAAACTGTTATTTTTCTTCCTTTTTAATCCTTACTTGAGGACTTTTTTTTCCCATTGATTTTCAGAGAGAGGAAGAGACCCATCAATCAGGTGTCTCTCACACATGCCCAGACCAGGGCTCATACATGTCTGGACTGGGGACAGAACAAACCCCAAAGCTAGACGTGAGCCCTGACTGGGAATCGAACCTGCAACCTTTCAGTTATGGGATGATGCTCTAGCCAACCGAACCACATCAGCCAGGGCTATTCCCCCTCTTTTAGCCACTTTCCTAGGACATTGGCTTTGCCTGTACCTGGGAGGTAAAGGGCAGGGGCAGGGAAGGAAATATACAAGAGCTTGGGTGCCAGGGTGGTCGGAAGAGTCTTGAGAGGCAAGGCATACGAGGAGGAAAGAATCCTCTTATTGTACCTTTCTAAGTGAAGTGGACAGGGAGGGAGGAGGGTACTTGGGGATGGTTTTTCTTGTTTCTCATTTTCAGTGGGAAGAATCCCAGGGGAGAAATAGGAAAGACAAACTTTAAAACATGATGTATGGGCCCTGACTGGTGTGGCTCAGTTGCTGGGCATTTTCCCACAAAACAAGAGGCTGCCAGTTTGATTCCTGGTCAGGGCACATGCCTGGGTCGTTGGTTCAGTCCCGGTCAGGATGCATGTGGGAGGCAACCGATAGATGTTTGTCTCTCACATCAATTTTTCTCTCCCTCTCTTTTTCCCTCCCTTCCCTGCTCTCTGAAAATAAACAAATAAAGTCTTTAAAAAACCCATGTGTATGGGCATGTTTTTGGGAAGCACTGCCATCAGTGGTCAGGCCTGCAGGCTTCCGAGTGGGAGCTGCAACGCAGGCCATCTCTCCACAAGAGTTTCCCGCCAGCCCCCGGTGTCCGAGCTCAGGAGCTGCCGTTATCACACACTGCGTCCAGGCGAGTCCCTGGCTCCCACCTTCCACGTCAGAGAAGGGGCGAGGGCCTGGCTGCTGGCAAGCACAGACGGCCTGCCAGCCGGACTCCAATGCTGTCCTCCTCTGCCCCCACAGCGGGGCGGGGCGGGCCCTCCTGCTCCCTCACTGCAGCCGGTCAGAAAAGTGGGCTGTTTCCATGGGTCGCTCCCACCAAGCATAGCACAGGGGTGCTTGGTTCACAGAAAACCTGTGTAGTCTTCTGTGCCAGGGTTTGCTATCCAATTCCCTTCCCCTAGATCCTCCATGGTGTCCCTCCTGTCACCATGGATTTTAGGATTTCAAACATGGTCTGATGGCACTGTTTCCAGTCGGTCTGCCCAGAACACTGCAGCTGAGATTCTCCAGCCAAGTGGGCTGTACTCGCTTCCTGCCATTATGCTTCTATCACCCTTTCTTAAATCATTTTGCTGGCTTCCTCTTGGTTTCCGACTTCAGGTCAAGTTTCCAACTCTCACTTTCTGACCCTTACTGTGTCTTGTTGCCAACGGAGTCCATTTTCACGGGTGTGTATTTCTTTCTTTTCTCCCCTTTTGTTTTTCTCTCCCTCTTTTAAACTTTCTTATTCCTCTTCTTTGAGCTACATATTAACTTGGTAGAGCCTTCCCTCTTTTTCTTTTAATTCTTTAGGGAAGAGAATCTCCTCATTTTCACGGGCACGGCCACTTCGCTACTTCCAACTGTATCTCTCACTGTGTCTCTTGGTAGATGA